GACACCAACAGTGTTTTCTTTGCTACAACATTGTACTTGGGGTACAGAGGAGAGCTTTCTGTGGAGGGTGCTGGAGCCGGAGCTGCTGGTCCTGTGGCTCTAACCTGTGAGAAGCTGCCCCTCCCTCCTCGTGTGCCTTCTGCTTCTGTCCTGGTGGCAGCCTGTTTGCTTTCTGCCCTAGGGCACACGGCGACACCCAGCACTGCAGGAAGGCTCTGCACCGGGCTGTCCAGTGCACCAGTGACTACCCAGAGCACGTCTGTGAAGTGCTGCTCACCATGGAGAGGACAGAAGGTAGGACCCTCGACTCTGCTTCTGGCTTGGAGTCTGTAAGGACAGACTGTGCACGGCTACCCCTTGAGTGGCGTGACTGTCACAGGGCGTTCCCCATGAGATCGAATCCTCTGAGATCTCCAGATCCAAGGAGGGCCCTGCATTGTATCGTTCTAGCGTGGGTTTTCAGAATTCTTTGTAGGATCCTGTGCATCCTAGCGTCTTTAGCAGCATCCCTGGCCTCTCTGCCCACTAGTTGCCAGCACACCTCCCTGCCCCCAGTCGTGACAATAAAAAATGACTCCAGTTGATCCCTGGGGTCAGGATCACTCCAGTTGAGACCCTCTGCTCCAGCATGTCATGCACGCCAAAGTAGCAGAGGCAAATGAGTAATGTGTGCATCACCTGCGAAGTTTAGAGCCTCAATATTGTGTCCAGTAGGAAAATAGAGAATTTATCCCTGGGCAGTGGTCTGGATTTTGGGTGGGAATCCCTCAGAACTTGAAATGAAACATCCAAACAACAACAAATGACAAAACACTTCAACATTTATCATTTGAGATGCTCAACTGTCTTAATATGTCTTATACCTTTTACATTGGAATGTTTTCATAATCTTTGCCAGGGAGCACCTGTAATAGATCATATTCTGGTTTTCAAGTCTCTCCTGAAAATGAAGGGATGTTTTAATCACACCTTGGAAGGACTATTGGAATTAGAAAACTTTCAGTGAAATCACCTTAAAATGGGGAGCTGACTCTCTGAGGGGAGAGCTCTCCTGAGGGTGGGGAAATTAAGAAAAGCTTCCCAAACCCAAAAACAGAAAGTTTGCTTCTTTTTCTATCAAGGTACTTTAGAAGATTGGGATATAGCTGTCCAGAAAACCGAAACTCGACTAGCCCGTGTTAATGAGCAGAGAATTAAGGTAATGATGCTGTTTATATGAAGTCTTGGGATCCTCTGATCGCTGTTTTGACCGTGTTTGCGATATTTTTTGTCAAAACCTTTGAGGTCCTTCTAAAACATGTCTTTTGCTTAGAAAGTATTTATTATGACATAGTTGAATCAATATTTAAACCAGTCTTTTGTTATTTCTTAGAACAACTTTAAACTTTAGCCCCAGCAGTAAATACTATTTTATGTAGTAGGGGAATTTTGGCCCTAAAATTTACTAGAATAGAGGAAAAAACAGGAAGAACCTCTTAGCCTAGTTGTTGGAATATGAACACCCCCAAGTTAATTAGGGCCCCAGTTTCTTAGATTCTTTTCTTCTCTTGGTGAATAATTACTGGGGCTATTGTGAGAAATACTGTGGATTTGAGAGAGGAATCCTGAGAGGCCGGAAAAGCCCTGGCAGGGAAGGTTGTGAGCACATTTTCCATGGTCTCGTCCGTTCACTGGGTATGAATCCCACTCCCTGGCCCCTTCCGTCCATTCTCATTACAAGGCGGTGGAGTGTGTGTCACTGCTGTGTCCAGTGATGCATCCTATGCCCCTTTTCCAGGCTGCGGAGAAGGAAGCCACCCTGGCCCAGCAGGAAGAGGAGAAGGCTGAGCACCGGAAGAGGGCCCGGGCTGAGAAGAAAGCGCTGAAAAAGAAAGTAGCCAGAGGCGCGGACAAGCGCAAAGCAGATGATGCCGAGAAAGAGTGGGACGGCGACGAAGAAGGTAAAGCTTTCAGAAATTTTGTTTTGGAACAACTCAACCTTCCAGAGAAGTTTCAAAAAACCCCCAAAAAACAGTACAAAGAACTTTTTTTCTTGAACCATTTGAGAACAGGTGCTGGCAAGACACCCCATCTCCCTTCCTGTCTCTGTCTTCCTCTGTGCCAGGTACTGCCCTGCAAGGGACCTGCGCTCTACTGCCTACACTGACTGCCCTCCTCTGTGGTGCCGTCCTCACCCCACGGGCTCCCGTACCCCACTGTCCCTGTCCCATGTGTTGACATCCCCTTCTTCCCGCCCAGGGTGCAGTGTCCCGTACCATTGCCTAGCCCAGTGGTCGGCAAACTGCGGCCCCTTGAGTGTGGCTCTTCCACAAAATACCATGTGCGGGCGCGCACGTACAGTGCAATTGAAACTTTGTGGCCACACTCAAGGGGCCAAAGAGCCGCATGTGGCTCGTGAGCCGCAGTTTCCCGACCACTGGCCTAGCCCACTGCACACACACCTGCCTTCTTGCCCCCACCTATTGTTTTGAGTCGGTAGAGTTTCAACCAGTGTTTCTGTCAGCCATGCCACTTCAGGAATGGGCAGGTGTGGGTCAGATTTATTTCAGCAAAGTCAGTCAAGGTAAAGAATTGTCTCCAGACATTAAGGAACTCTGTTCATTTTCCTGGTACAAAGCTGTCAGCCAGAGGGAAATGGGAATGGAGCCATCATTCAGTTGACCTTTCTTGCACACCTTTTTGGGGCCTTCAGAATGACCACAGTAGCTCATTGCCCCTCAGAGCTCCTGGTTTAGCAGATAAGGCAAATGTGCCATGTGACTGCGGTGGTGTGTAGTCAGGACTGTGGCAGGTTAGATGTGAATTATGGTGGAAGTCAAAGAAGGCATGAGTGGGTCAGCTCCTGCAAGAAAGAGTTCATGAGAGTGATGTGTGCACCTTGGCATCGGGGAGGAAGGAGTGACTGTTGAGTGGGAAAGAAGGGAAGCCAGACAGAGCTGGTGTCAGCACGAGGCACAAAACAGCCTGGCATTCTCTCTGAGCAGCAAATGACTGGGTGTGTGCCCGGATGCATGCTGGGGGCCAGGTGCATGGGTGGTGAGCTGCAGCAGCAGCCAGGCCAGCTGGCTGGGCCCCATTCAGGGATGCTCTTGAATACAGTGTGCAGGGTTAGACTTCATCAGGAAGCAGTGGGAACTTGGTGGAAGGGTCTGGAAGTGGGGATCCAATGCCAAATGGGTTTCAGTGTGCCTCTGGAGAAAGTGGGGAGATGGGTTGGAGTAGAATGTTGTCTAACTCTCTTGAAGGATACAAGACAATAGTAAACCCTTTGTAGAGCTTTCCAGTGTGGCCACATGAAGCACACACTTCAGAGTCACCTAAGTGCTTGTTTAAACGCAGGTCCCCAAGCCTTATCCTTGCTGACCTGAGCCTTAAGGGAGAGGGGCCTTGGATTGGCCAGCTGCACTTTTCAGACCCCCTGACCTTTTCTATAACTAAGTAGACAGTGAGGACTTACTGTTTCTACTTGAGTTAGCCCACTCATCCGCCTGTCATCAGAGTCCAGAACGTGGTGGGACAAGCCTGTGGGCCAAGATAGACGTGGCAGGTGTGGTGCTTGCAGGTCAGCGGGGAGGACTGAGTGTTGGTCACGTGCCGCTGCTGCAGACTGCCTGTCTGCAGTGGGAAGAGCGCGTACATGGGCCGGCTCAGTGAAGGGAGGAAAGTTAATTGTTGCTGCTTTTCTCCCAACAACCTGTAGAGCAGCCTTCCAAGCGCAGAAAGCTGGAGAACAGCGTTCCTGCAGCTGCAGAAGAAGCACCAGACCTGGAAGAGGAAATGGGGCTCTTTGGGAAAAGCGCATCTGCAGACGTCACCCCCCCCTCAAAGCAGAAGGAAAGAGCCGCCGCCGCCCTGAAGAGGGACGCGCCCAAGGTGCCCCACGACAGCAGCAAGGACAGTGTCACCGTCTTTGTCAGCAACCTGCCCTACAGCATGGAGGAGCCGGACGTGAAGCTGCGGCCGCTCTTTGAGGCCTGTGGGGAAGTGGTCGAGGTCCGCCCCATCTTCAGCAACCGGGGCGATTTCCGAGGCTACTGCTACGTGGAGTTCAAGGAGGAGAAGTCGGCCCTGCAGGCGCTGGAGTTGGACCGGAAGAATGTAGGCGGGAGGCCAATGTTTGTTTCCCCCTGTGTGGATAAGAGCAAAAATCCTGACTTTAAGGTATGTTTGTGGGAAAAAGAATGGCTTTCATGCAGGGTTGCTATAGACTGACTAAACATTGTTTTTTGGTGCAGCAACTAATATTGCAAACATACATGGAATAACTATACTGTTCTGAGCTGGTTAATTAAGGTCTGATTCATGGCTCAGTCACTTGGAGCTTGCATTAGCTGATACATGATCATAAAATGAGGAATTGTAATAATGGCGATGGTCCAGTGAGTGCATAGGAGTGACAAGGGACTGTGCTAAATGTTGACTTACTGTTTCTAGCCCACTCATCCGCCTGTCATCAGAGTCCAGAACGTGGTGGGCCAAGCCTCTGGGCCAAGATAGACGTGGCAGGTGTGGTGCTTGCAGGTCAGCGGGGAGGACTGAGTGTTGGTCACGTGCCGCTGCTGCAGACTGCCTGTCTGCAGTGGGAAGAGCGCGTACATGGGCCGGCTCAGTGAAGGGAGGAAAGTTAATTGTTGCTGCTTTTCTCCCAACAACCTGTAGAGCAGCCTTCCAAGCGCAGAAAGCTGGAGAACAGCGTTCCTGCAGCTGCAGAAGAAGCACCAGACCTGGAAGAGGAAATGGGGCTCTTTGGGAAAAGCGCATCTGCAGACGTCACCCCCCCCTCAAAGCAGAAGGAAAGAGCCGCCGCCGCCCTGAAGAGGGACGCGCCCAAGGTGCCCCACGACAGCAGCAAGGACAGTGTCACCGTCTTTGTCAGCAACCTGCCCTACAGCATGGAGGAGCCGGACGTGAAGCTGCGGCCGCTCTTTGAGGCCTGTGGGGAAGTGGTCGAGGTCCGCCCCATCTTCAGCAACCGGGGCGATTTCCGAGGCTACTGCTACGTGGAGTTCAAGGAGGAGAAGTCGGCCCTGCAGGCGCTGGAGTTGGACCGGAAGAATGTAGGCGGGAGGCCAATGTTTGTTTCCCCCTGTGTGGATAAGAGCAAAAATCCTGACTTTAAGGTATGTTTGTGGGAAAAAGAATGGCTTTCATGCAGGGTTGCTATAGACTGACTAAACATTGTTTTTTGGTGCAGCAACTAATATTGCAAACATACATGGAATAACTATACTGTTCTGAGCTGGTTAATTAAGGTCTGATTCATGGCTCAGTCACTTGGAGCTTGCATTAGCTGATACATGATCATAAAATGAGGAATTGTAATAATGGCGATGGTCCAGTGAGTGCATAGGAGTGACAAGGGACTGTGCTAAATGTTTTATGTATTACCTTAGGGCAGCGGTTCTCAACCTGTGGGTTGCGACCCCTTTGGGGGTCGAATGACACTTTCACAGGGGTCGCCTAAGATCATCGGAAAACACATATTAAATATATAATTACATATTGTTTTTGTGATTAATTACTATGCTTTATGTTCAATTTGTAACAATGAAAATATATCCTGCATATCAGATATTTACATTACAATTCATAACAGTAGCAACATTACAGTTATGAAGTAGCAACGAAAATAATTTTATGGTTGGGGGTCACCACAACATGAGGAACTGTATTAAAGGGTCGAGGCATTAGGAAGGTTGAGAACCACTGCCTTAGGGGATCCCCACCCAAACTCTGAGAATAGCTCCTTTCATTGTTGCCATTCTATAGAGGAGGGAAGTGGTGAGTGACATGCCCAGTTAGCCATTCCCAGCACCCAGCATCAGTGCTGGTCTGCCCGCTGGGCCTGCCGGAGAGGGGCCAGTGTGCTGGGCTGGGCTTCTAACTGTTGGTTTTCCCCCTCCTTCCTTCCTAGGTGTTCAGGTACAGCACTGCCCTGGAGAAGCACAAGCTGTTTATCTCGGGCCTACCCTTCTCCTGCACTAAAGAGGAACTCGAAGAGATCTGTAAGGCTCATGGCACCGTGAAGGACATCAGGCTGGTTACCAACCGGGCTGGCAAACCAAAGGTCAGTGTCGGAGTGGACGGTCAGCACACCGCCTTCCAGGCTCGGACGAAGCCAGTTCTGTGTCTGTGCAGAGATCACTGGGGTCTAGAGTGGGTTCCTAGTTTGTCTGCTGAGAAACAAATGACATGTGAAGGATAGGTACATTAGGCTCTGCTTGCATTTGGAGTCTGTATCTAGTTGTACTAAAAATATAAGGCATTGAAAAACACTCGAATTCGCAGAGGAGCACATGAATTCTAGACTGTGGGGCCTTGGGGTGAGGGGCTGCCCTCGCAGTCTCCTTCCTGCCCGGTCTCAGCCTCCAGCCATTTCCTCAGCTCCCTCCACCCCCTTCTAGTTGCTTGTTAAATCCTCTGCACCACATTTTGAGTAGTGGACCCATGTTGTTTAAGCATGGGTTTGTATTACCTTTCTTCTCTGCCCCCGCCCCCATCCAGGTTAATCAAGAGTTAAAGAATAAGAAATAAGGAGGGCACATAGGCATTAGGCACACCTGGGCTGCTCCCTGGTCCAGGCCACCTCAGCCGATAGCTGGATTTACACTGGTCTGTTGGTCTTTTTCTTTCTTTTGCTGGAGCAACCGCAAGAGGTACTGACCTTACAAAGGTTATTGAAGTTACAGTCAGTTACAGAAGTGGAAAGAGTAGGGCAGGGAATAAACCTGTAGACAAAGGATGGCAGTGGTGGGGTAGGTCACCTATTGATGGGGTACCTGTCCTGACCTGACCCCCCAACCTCAGGGAGGAAGTTGCATCCTGGCTCCCCAGCACCTGACCCGGCTCTGGCCTCTTTCAGGGCCTGGCCTACGTGGAATACGAAAATGAATCCCAGGCATCGCAGGCTGTCATGAAGATGGATGGCATGACTATCAAAGAGAATGTCATCAAAGTGGCCATCAGCAACCCCCCTCAGAGGAAAGTTCCAGAGAAGCCAGAAGCAAGGAAAGGACCAGGTGGCCCCAACGTACCCCGGCAGATATATGGAGCGTAAGTGTTTGCATGCTAGCCAGTGCAGGCTTTGTCCCGTCATACCCGGATGGATTGGTTAGCACAGCACGTTAGGACAGACAGCCAGGGCCTGCTGTCCACTGTAGTCCTGGAGCAGGGTGTCCAGAGCATGTCCCTGCAGTGCAACCCTTCCTGGTGTTTGCCAATTACACTTGTGATTTATTTAAAGTTCTCTTTGCCAGTTGAATGCATGTGTTTAAACACAGCCTGACAACCAGATGCTGGCCAGGGTCAGCTACAGATCAACCAGGGGCCACCAGTTATTACGTTGAAGGTACATTCAGTGTCTGCTCTTCCAGGCGGGGGAAGGGAAGGACCCAGCTCTCTCTGCTGCCTCGCGCCCTGCACCGCCCCAGCGCTACCGGAGCTCAGGCTGAGAATGGCCCTGCCCTGAAGCCAGCGGTCACCACCTCAGAAGCTACTGAGGCTCCCAAGATGTCCAATGCTGATTTTGCCAAGCTGCTTCTGAGAAAGTGAACAGGACTCAGAGAAGGGAGATGCCTTACTTCATGCTGGCCGGGAGGACACCATCTCCCAGCTGTACCCGGGTACGGAAGGGCCCAAGGCAGCGCGGTTTCCCCTGGTGTAGACAGAAAGGGAACGGGTGTCCGAGCAGAGAGGCTTCACATGTTCCCTCACATTGAGGGTGACAGCAGGAAGACAGTCACTCCATGGCTGGGCACCAGGTATAGTTTCTAAGGTATTTTTTGTCTTTAAGAGAAATGGGAGTGAAACTTGGACACACCATTTTGAGACACACTTGTCCAACTGTTTCAGCCAACTCAGGCCCCTTCTTATAAGACACTTCCCTTACACTCTGTATAGTCCATATGCCCGTCACTCTTTTAATTTTTAAAAGACAAAACGGCAAATGCTAGTAATTCACCAGAATGGCCTATTTTAGTAAAGGGGTGGGGATAGGGCCAGTCACCTACAAAATATTTGGTGGGTTTTTGTTGTAGGGGGCTGTGCGTTTTTATATTATGTATTTGTAAATGACATGTCAACCCATTGTTTTATGTTTCCTCAAAGCAAAATATCTGACATTTGTTTTCTATAGGAATTCTGTGTGTCACCTGCTGTGGACCATTTTCTTTGCCTAGTGAATAGTGGACTGTGTTGTTCTTTGTCTAAATATTGAGTTTCAGCCCTTGGGTTTTGTTTAAATACCATGTCAAGTGCGGACTTAAATTTTCCTCATTTAGCTTTGTTTATTAAACTGAAGTTCTCTTAAGAACATCTCGCAGAATGGTACTCTGCTGTGCATTCAAATATGGGTGTGTTTTGAAATTTGTGTACCTTGCTTTACCTAACAGATGTGTAAGTAGAACTTTTAAGTCAAAGTGACTATGGGATTTGACTTACAAATCTTTTCAGCTGTGATGTGTCTTCAGCTTTAAACTTCATAAAGAATAGGGCTGAAGTCCTGACACAATCCCTCCTGCATCCTTCTGACAAACGGGACCATTTCTTGAAAAAGAACAAAGTCGTCTCAGGCATTTATTTAATACAATAAAATACTTTATTAGAATCAGTTATTTGTTAAAATAATATCCTTCACATACAGCTAAAGTGCCCATTTCTATAGTAAAAGCAAGCACTTCCATCAGGCTTCCTTGGTGAGCTTATAAAATCGAGACGATAGATTTAAGGTTAAGAAATAACTTATGGCAGCATACAAGTATGAAAATATTTTTATAAAGGTCTGAATAACTATCACCTTGGGGCCATGTCATACATCTTTATACTTATTTTCCAGAAAACCATTCTGAATGTGCTTGTTAAACAATTAAATAACTATAAACTAAACACTTGCTACATAAGAGCAGTGCCCTCGTTACTACCAGGATCTGAATTCTCAAATCAGAGGCATTATGTTCTCACCGACATTCAAAGTGCAGCACAGGGTTAGACATCATGGCTCTGCCCCTGGAATGGGAAGCAGAGGTTTCTGGCCATTCTCACTAAATAGCAGCAGTTTTACTGGCACCTGGGCTGTATGTGATTTAAAGAGAAGATTCTACTTCATAGAATGACAGCTTGCCCATATGACATAAAACACAGTTGTTAGGCAAGTAGGGCCACTCCAAGGCAATCTATTCTGCTTCCCCCAGGGGGACGCAGGGCGTACAGGGGCTGTGGGAGGTGGGGGCAGGTGAATAAGTGCTGTGGTCAAAGGGTTTTTGTGGTTTAGCACAAACTGGTGCTCTAATTCACTATCAAGATGCTTTTTGGGTGTTGATAGTTAAACTCAGTGGGGGGTGAGGGCAGACTCCCCCGACTGCACAATACCTGATTGGCAGCAGGATTCAGCTGTTTGGTGAAAGCCCAGGGAACTTTCAGACAAACACATCTGGTCTGAGTTGCTGCAAATGAAGTGAGAGAAACATCAACAGAAAAACCAGGGTGGCCATTCCCCTATTAATTAGAAAAATAGTCTTAATATGGAAAAACAGCCTGACACTAGAGTTTGCAAACTATGGCTCTTCCCTGAAATAAGCAAGGTACTGAACTAGAAATGTCAACACTCGTTGCTTTCGTTCTGTATCTCAGAAGTTCGCCCTGCCAGTAAGAATTAGTCACAACACTAATCTTTGTAGGGAAGCAAGCACCTCTAAGCAAGCAAGCTTTCAATCATTTCTCAAAATTGGGACCAGGTTTTCCCCGGGAGTGCTGACCTCCAGGCAGTCACAGAGCCTTGCAGCCAGTCTCCGAGGAAGACCCGGCAGACTCGCCCTATGTCTCTGGACCTCGCCCGTGTTGGCCTCTCCTTACCTTAGTGCAAATTCTGCTCCAGTACTGGTCTGGTCATGCAAGGAGCACTGGTGCCCCAATGCCTGCTGGGACCACCACAAGAATGGGCCACCAGCACAGATGGCAGACACATTTACTGGCTCAAAAGAAGAAAATAAATAACTTGGCTGAATTATAAGTTATTTTAGAGACAAGGCTTAATAACTTAGTTATTTTCTTTAACTAAAAAAAACATTTGGAGGTAAAGAACGTTTAAGTTCCTTATCTGTTTCCTTTTGTTTTGGAGACGACAAGGTTTCTAGAAATGCTAAGTTTTGATTTTTTTTCTCCCCCTGGAAACCTTTTGTCACCAAGGGAAGATGTACAGGGTTAAGGTTTCACAGGTAGTGTCTCCTTGAACCCAGAGTGATTGGGTTTAGCCTCTGGCAGTGCCACTGGGTACTCTGTTGTGGCAAACAGCAGGGTGTCCAGGGTGGTCTCCGTACACTTGGCAATGAAGCGAATGAATGGCCTCACGTCGCCTTCATTGGCGACTTCCAGTACGTGGTAGTACTCAGATCTCTGCTCCTTGCGGATGGTGATGGGTGGGTAGCCCGCCTGCATTAGGATGAGGTTCATCAGCAGGCGTGAGGTCCTTCCATTGCCGTCAATGAAAGGGTGGATGTAAACGAGTTTATAATGGGCCAAGGCTGCAAACTCCACTGGGTGCAGATTCATAGCGTCCTCGGAGTTGAGCCACTGTATGAACTCTTGCATCTGCTTTTCCACATCTTGAGGATGGGGAGGGATGTGGTGTCCCACAAGGACCTGTGTTGTCCGAAACCTGCCGGCTTCCACGGGATCCACATAACCCAGCACGCGCCTGTGGATCTCCAGTATGTCGCTGATGGTGACGGACCCCATGCGGGAAACCAATGTGGTGTTGATGTACTTCATTGCCGCGTGCATGCCAATGACCTCGTTCTGCTCCTCCAGGCTTTTCCCCGGCACCGCATAGCGGGTCTCCAGGATGTGCCTGATTTCCGAGAGGGTGAGGGTGTTGCCCTCGATGGCAACCGTGTGGTAGATGTGATGGTAGTACGTTTCCTCCATGACCCTCTGCAGCGCGGAGCTGCCCTTGGGGATGGACATGACCTTCCTCACTTTGTCGTCGATGATGCTGAAGTACCTCTGGTCGATCTCCTCCACCAGCGGCAGCGTCCGGTCCCGGCTGATGAGCGCTTTCTCGTGGTAGGGCGAGATGGTCAACGCTCTGGTGTACAAGTAATCTGCCTGGATGATGTCCTTTTCCTCTTCTGAGAAGATGCCAAACTCGGTGAGCGCATCCACCGAGTCTGGGTCCATGCTCAGGGCGTGCAAGAAGAGCTTGTGGGCCTTCTTCCGCTTGCCCTGGCGTTTCATTTCCAGGGCTTGGTGCAGAGCTGCTTTGGCTTCCAACCTAGCGGCTAGAAAAGAGCCAAAGAAGCATTATCAGGGAGGGCAAGGAGTGGCCAAGGACATTGAGGTGACCTGTCAGGGGAAGACATGGCCTTGGGGTTGTTCTAGGCAGGCTGCTCATGCCCAGTACCACTGCACGTAATGGCCCACCGCATGTATGGATGTAGTGGTTTTCCATTTGTCCCCAGAGCCATTCTCTGTACCCCAGGAGGTATCACCTGGCCCCCTGCCTTCCAACTGCCATATTGAGTGGCTGTGATCCTGGGGCCACAACTCCCATCACTGGGCTCTCCCTGCATCTTCTCCAGCTCTTGGCTGTTCTGGTGATCCATCTGATGGTGCCTCTGCCTCTAGGCCAGGCTGGGAATAACTCCCCACTGGTGCTAGCTCCCTAGGCCTCCCCATTCCTGGGCCCTTAACTTTAATTCCTTTAATCTTCAGCCACACCTGCTTGACATCTAGTCTTCCTTCCACCGTCCCCCAGCATCCCACTCCCCACCCTCCTGAAACCCAGTATCAGTATCAGCCACACACACTGGGCTTCTTTTAGTTCCTCAAGTGCCCCAGGCTCTCCTACCCTCTGGTCTCTGCTGGAGCACTCTCCCCTCACAACTGTTCCACTGGGTCACTCCTGCTTACACTTGGTCTCAGCTTAGGCACCCCCTCCTCCAGGGAGCCTTCCTGGTGTGCTCCTGTGACCCCTTCGCTCCCCCATCACCACATGGTGGCACTGTACCTGTCACCTGTCTGCTTATATAGGCTGGGAGGTCAGGGCTGACTTCTTCACTGTAATACCCGTGCCCTGCCCACAGGACATAGTAGACACTAAACATCTATCCCAGTGGTTCTCAACCTTGGCTGCACATTAGAATCACCTGGGAATCTTTTTAAAATCCTGATTTCTGGGCCTCAGAAGAGAGTAATGTCAGTATCATGGGGGAGTGAGACGACTCCATTGCTTCTCCCGTATAATGTACAAAAAAACCACTGTAACTCAACAAAGGATCACCCGCTCAACACACAAATGCACCTAAAAGATCCACGCACAGGAACATCTGAGGATGGGAAGTAGGGGAGGTGGGACAGAGGAAGGACAGGGACGGAGACGAAGTTCAGTGTCCACTGTGGCTCCAGCGAGTGAGGTAGGTAGAGATGGAGAAGTGTGTGCAGCCTGCAGTGTAAGGGGCAGGGCAGGTTCCCTCCAGGAAAGGACATCTCCCTTCCCCGCTCCCCGTCTAGGCTAAGCCAGGTAGAGGCAGCTGGGAAGTCTTAACACAGTGGTGCCCACAGTCTCTGCCGCAGGTGGGGGACCGAGCTGTGAGGCCGCAAACGTGTCTCCCCTGCCCCAGACACCCTGGCAGAACCCGGGAAAGGAAGCTGGGAAATGAAAGTCCGGCATCCCAACAATTTGGGGATGAGGCAGAAGTGCAGAGCGGCTGTCATCTACACAGCGTGGCACTGGCAGGAAAACACAGACCAATGGAGCCGGACTGAGAGTCCAGAAATAAGCCACACATACAGGGTATCCCCCCAAAATATATAAACACAACGTTTGTGATTCCATTACACTTTGAAAATGAAATGTGTTTTCATAAACACTGCCTTTATAATTATTCCAAGTGTGTATGCATTTTGGGGGGACACCCTATATATATATATGGACAACTAATTTTTGTTAAAGGAGCCAAAACATACACTGGAGGGAAGGAAAGTCTCTTCAATAAATGACACTGGGAAGACCAGAAAGCCACATGCCAAAGAATGAAACTGCTATCTGAGACCATACACAAAACGTAACTAAAGTGGACTAAAGACTTGAATATAAGACCTGAAACAATAAAATACAGTCAAACCTCGGTTCTCGAATGTCTCTCATCTTGAATAATTTGGTTTCCAACCAGTTGTTCACAGAAAAAGTCTTGGTTTTCTACCTGACAACCCTTTCATGCTGATACCTCAGCATGACAAAAAGCATCTCTTAAGCAACAAAGGAGAGAATGCTTTTGTTGCTGGCGAAATGGACAGTTAGCACAATTTCAAAAACATAAAGAGGCCATCAACAGGGCTAATGTGTGAAAGTGCTCACAAAACAACAATCAGGCAATTGAATAGGTAGAAAAACTTGTTAACTGGATAAATGAGAAGCAGGTGGTAATAGCATTGTGGAGGCAGTGGTATAGTTTAAGGCAGTGGTTCCCAAACTTATTTGGCCTACCGCCCCCTTTCCAGAAAAAATATTACTCAGCGCCCCCTGGAAATTATTTTTTTAAAAATTTTAATAGCAATTAAACAGAAAGATATATGTATTAATGTTTCTACCTTTTTCGTAAAATATAGTAAAGAAAGGTGTAAATTAGAAACATTGAAGTTTGAAATTATGAAACTATTTATTGAACTCAGAATAGAAAGGTAATACAAAAAAAGTTAAAACAAATGCACCTGTGGCCATCACGGCCCCCCTGGATCGCTGCAGCGCCCACCAGGGGGCGGTAGCGCCCACTTTGGGAATCACTGGTTTAAGGCTAGTAGGGGGTGATTTGATAAATTTAAGAAAAGTATTTATTGATTAAACAGTCCATTAGATATGTACTGTATATAAGAAAGGTAAAACGGAATCATTTGGGGATCTGGAACAGAGTAATTCAATTTACATTATTTCTAATGGGGAAAAATGATTCGGTTTTCGAACAACTCGCTTCTCAAGCACCTTCTGGAACTAATTGAGTTCGAGAACAGAGGTTCCACTTATATACAAAAAATATGGGCACTATACTTATAGACCTTGGTCTCAGGGGTTTTTGTGAACTTGACCCCAATGGTAAGGGAAGTAAAATCAAATAAAATGAATGGTACTGCAGCAAACCAAAAAGCTGCACAGCAAAAGAAACCATAAAAAACAAAAAGGCAACCAACCGAATGGGAGACGATATTTACAAATCACACCCCCAATAAGGGGCTCACATGCAAACTATATAAAGAACTCATACAATTCAACAACAAACACCTGGATTAAAACATGGGCAGAGGACCTGAATAGACGCTTTTCCAAGGAAGACATAAGATAGTCAACAGATACATGAAAAGATGTTCAACATCACTAGTTATAAGGGAAACGCAAATCAAAACTATGAGATACCATCTCACACCTGTTAACAATGGCTATTACCAAAAAGAAGAAATAAAAGAGTTGTAGAGGGTGTGGAGAGGGAACCCTCTCCTGCTGGTGGGAATATAAGCTGGTGCCGCCACTATGGAAACCAGTATGGAAATTCCTCCAAAAATTATGAATAGAGCTACCATATGGCCCAGCAATCCCTCTTCTGGGTATCTACCCAAAAAATTTGAAAATAACTTATTCATAAAGATATTTGTAGCCCTATGTTCACTGCTGCATTATTCACAATAGCCAAGACATGGAAACAACCCAAGTGTCCTTTGACGGATGAATGGGTAAAGATATGGTACATACATACAATACAGACATACTTAACTGTAAAAAAGATGAAATATTGCCATTTGCCATAGCATGGATGGATTTTGAGAGTATCATGCTAAGTGAATATCAGATGGAAAAGGACAAGACCTGTGTAAATTCACTCATATGTGGGATATAAAACAAAAAGCAACAAATGAATAAACAGAAACTCTTACAGACAACAGAATGGTGGTTCCCAAAGGGGAAGGGGGTGGTGGGAGGACGAAGAGGGTAAAGGGTCAAATACATGGTGACAGAGAGAGACTAGACTGTGGGCGGGGAGCACACAACCGAATATACAGCTGTCGTATTATTCATTGCACACCTAAAGTTTGTTATTAACCAATGTTTCCCCAATAAATATAATTTAAAAGTGTGAACAACATAAGTGATAACAGATAAATAAAATGTGGCACAATCCAAAAAACAAACAACCAAGAGCCGAGGAGACGGCCACTCCGTCTTACCTGGGGAGGACGCGGCCTTGACCACCAGCAGGGCCGCATCCTTGGAGGTGACGCTGAGTTCCGTGGATGGGCTGGTGCATCTGCTGACGGCATGCTGGGCCCTGTCCCACCTGCTCCTGAGCAGGGAGAAGCCTTTGAGCAAGGCCCAACACTGCTCCTCCATGGCCCCCAGCGGCAGCAGCAGGGCCAGCAGGGACCCCAGCGCCATGCTCAGCAGCATCACCCACAGGAAGCGGCCCCAGATGGGGACCCATTTTGGTTCAGCCACGGCCACCACTGAAGCCATCGGCATGAGTGTCATCTGGACTCAGGGGTGCGCCCCTCGCACATACCCACAGTCGTCGGAGAGAGCGAGCCGGATCTGAAAGGAACCAAGAGTTGTAGGAGATGAGGCCGGGGAGCCGATACGTTTAGGACATGTTCCTGTCTCCGCTAGAGCTTGGAGACCCCACACTTCTTAACTCACTATGACCAGGGGGTGGGGGCAAGCAAGGAGTGGATATAAATGGGGAGGGGCCAGTCTGAAAAGCAAAGCTGCAGTTGCCCAGCATTTATTAAGCACCTGCTGTGTGCCAAGCACGAAGGACCTACACATACCCCCCTGCAATCCACAACAGGAGCTGATGCTACTGTCACCCCCCTCTCCAGACGAGGAAACAGGCTCAGAGAGGTCAAGTGTCTCCTGCCCGAAGTCACCCAGTGAGCCAGTGGCAGCCTTAGGACTTGAATTCAGCACCCCGTGGCTCTAAAGTCTCCCCCCTCCACCGCAAATCCTTTTGTACTGAGCGTCTCTAGGACAGTGGTTCTCAACCTTGGCTGCACATTAGAATCACCTGGGAATCTTTTTCAAAATCCTGATTTCTGGGCCTCGTCCTCCGGAAATTCTGTTTCTTGGTTACTAATGTTGTGGCCTCACCCCATAACAAAGAAACAGAATTTCCGGAGGATAAGGCCCAGAAATCAGGATTTTAAAAAGATTCCCAGGTGATTCTAATGTGCAGCCAAGGTTGAGAACCACTGGTCTAGAAAAAAAATAGTGCACACACACACACCTCCCCCCCAGGTTGGCTAAGCCAGTTCTGAGGTCCATCCTTTTCGATCAGCACAACTGGTGGCCTGATTTACTGCCGAATGGCCGGCCACCTCTTCCCGCCCTTACCCTGGTATTAGCCACAATCCAATCCCCTGTCCGGCCTTCCTTCCTTTACTGGCTTGTCCCCCCGAGACGGTGGGGTCCCTGCCTAGAGTTTGGGCAGCCAAGCATCTCAAAAAGAACTCAGGGTGAGGGCCAGAGCGAGTGACCCCTTGCCCTCTGTGCCAGGGGCTCGTGTTTGGGGCTGGTGGTGGGAGTGGGGAGCGGGGCAGGGATGCAAGCACCATGATGCTAACAATAAGCATTTATTGGGCAACTATGGAGAGCTGAGCACGGAGCTGAGCGCTAGCCATGCACGAGGCCACAAGCCCCAGTCCCTGGGGGAGGAAAGCTAGCCAGCTCCATTTTACAGAAGGAAACAAGCCACAGGCAGGGGTAGGCCAACCCCAGAAGGCCCACAGGGAGGGAGGACATCGAGGCACCGGGAACCGAGCCCAGGTGCGTCTGGGCGCAGGTGCCGGGCTTCCCCTCTCCCGTATCCACCCCCAGGGCCTGTGCACCTGCCCCGGCTGCTCCTGGTGCTGGGCCTCCACGAACCTGAAGGGGTTCATTAGGTTTCTGGTTGCTTCGGGCTGTGAGTCTAAGGGAGCAACCTGGCTCCATAATGGGACATCAGAAATGGCTTGGGACGCGCTCTAATGGGGGGACGGAGACGGTGCGGGTCCCTGCTTCGTCCGGGTGGTCTGCGCCCGCTCCCCGAGCGACGGGCTCCTCGGCGGGGCTGGAGTTCGCCGGGG